GTCCTCTATTGCAAATATACCAAGCAGAACCATAGGCATAATCTAATCGTGCAGCAGTGATCACCCATTGCGGATATACTAAGTAGGACCATGCATGTACCACTGCTTCATGGTGTAGTTAGATCAACCCACAACCTACTTACCCCTACCTTAACCCCTATGATTTACTACGTAAGCACCTGCACTATTAACTATCACGACCACTAACTATCTTGTCATACCAGTATATAAGTTCTATATAATACTTCTAATAAGATTCTAAGCTCGCATTTCAATACTAGCAATCATACATTTCATTCATATCATCTAGAAGTTTAGTAAACATGTACAGCAAATTTCATTCATATCTAATAATGCTACTTTTAGTATTGAAGAACGCTTCAGAACATCTTGACCAAAGTCAACCCTAGGAATCCAATTAGGAAGATCCATCCAGCGGATTTTTGATTTGTAAGTTCCTAAAGTTATTAAATATTACGTACAATAGCATACTGAAGTTTGGTGACAATCCAACGATTAGATCGTCGTTCGCTACAATGGTCAGGTGGTATTCCTTAATGCAAATGATAGAATTTCACTAATCGGCTGTCAAATATGGAACCGAGGTATCAAATTCAACCTAGAAGGATCAAGCAGTTTCTCGGGCCATGCATTGTCGCCACGCACGATGAACATAAACTAAGTTTTCCAATCAACTTTAAAAATTACCAAATTTTATAGGATTGTAGGGAAATAACTTTCATAACTGGGTCGAAGTCCAATTTGGCCGGGAAATACCTAAAATCCAATGTGGATCACCGGAAACCCTAGAATTGGGTGATTGTTGATTCGTCTTCTTCGCTGCTCTGTCGCCCCCAAACTTGTTTGGGGTTTGGTCCTGGACTCAAGATGATGCTAAAGATGGTGGTGGTCAAAGGAAAACGCTTCAGAAATGGTGGATCGCCGGTGGAGGGTTCTCGGACCCGTGTGCATTATGCACCATGAAATGGGGCCAAAACTTGTCGGGTTTAGGGTGAAAATCACAGGAGGGATGACGAGAAGACGTTTGCAGGTGGTGGCGGACTTCAGCTCGCCGAAAAATCACCTGAATTAGAGCTTGTTGCCTTTTGGTTAGCAGTCGAGTCACGCGGGTCAATCTTTGACCAGACCCGCTAACTCTCTTATTTCACTCCTCTCCCATTGGTTCACTCCCTCCCCTATTTCTGATTGGTCCACCCTTCCATTAAATGGGGCTTTCCCCACAATTTGATTGGTCCTTCTTCCAAACAAAAATAATAATTTTTTTTATTTAGAGAAATTCCTAAATTAATATTTATCTCCAATTTCCATTGCTCATAACTTCTTCGTTATAGCTTCGATTCACAAATGGCCTTCGCCTACACGTTCGTAGGATCGAACCCTATTTGAAAACATTAATTGTGACCTCGAAATGCCTACGAAATTTAAATGATTATTTTCAAAACTTCAAACTAACTAAGTAATTAAAATTCTAAATTAATTAAATTAAATTCCTGCAAAAATAATATAAAATCCCACGAATATGAATACATAAATTATAATGGTGAAAGCTAGGAACGTGATTTCACAGAAATCGAAGGCGAGATCGCGGTAGGGATTAGGGAAAATGTGGGGCTATGCATTCAAGGGAAACTGAAAAGAGAAAATGGAAAGAAATATCTAGAACAACCAAAGCCAAAGCACCTAGCGATGAAAGACTTGTAGAACCAAAAGGGCAAAACGGTCTTATCACTGTAGAAACGCAGCACCAAAATGGAGAGGACGAAAGTTTTGAGGTGCTGTTTCGCCACTTTACTATTAATGAACAGTAACCAAGAGTTTGGGTTTTAATATATGTATAATATATAATGAATGGTTTTACTTTTTATTATTGTGATGGAGTCCAACAGATACTGTACTCGTATGTGGTAAGATACTAGGTCTGATTAGTAGTGGACACTATAATAAAAGTGATCCATGATAAAATGAAATAGTTAACCAATTTGAAAAGTCCTAGGATTGTTTATTTGGCAAGCAAAGAATCACAGGTCAACATCTTTCCTCCTGTATGAATCCCAGAAGCCAAAACCTAGAAAAAAAGTCTTACCTGCTCCCTATGCTATGCTGAAGTTTGATTACCACAAACCTCTCATTCTTCAACACTAATTGACGTGAATGTGTCTGTTAGCGATCAAGTTTCCACCATAGTACGTCGCTCAATTGACAGAATTAGCTAACTAGACTAGTTTCTCTTCAATTACCTAGCAAATTCGCAATCTTAACCAATAATTCTGATATCCTACACGTCAAAACACTTGAAATATCTTAACGAGTTCAACTTTAGCAAGGTTCTATGTTATTACATGTCACATCATTTAAAGAATTTTTAGTATTGGGTGATGCATGTGATTCAATATCCTAGTGGTTAGGGTATTCGGTTTTCACCCATACGTTCTAGGTTCGAAATTGTCTCCACCCCTAAATTTTTATAATAGTTTTGAGCCCTTCCATTCCCTTAATAATAATTATAATAATAATAATAAATAAATAAATAAATAAAATGGGTGATGGATCTCCACTGTTATAACTCCTTTTCAATAAAAATGCTGGTTGTTTTGGTGAGGGAGCTGCTTCTTCATTACCTAGCATGAAAACGACTGCCAACATTGTTTGCCGGTCGTGGCATACTCTTGCACACAGAAGCTGGGCAATTTAGCAGCAACACCTCTCTCTTAGGGTGTGTATGCTTTGTTTAATATTTTTTGTGAGAAAGGGGAAACAGAGAGGAGAACAAAGAGAATCTTTTTCATTTTATATGTAAATGGTTTGAAAACCGAACCGAAATTGTTTGAAACCGCACCGAACTGAACCAAACGGTTTGGTTTCATTTCGGTTTTATCTTCAAAACCACACCAAATCGAACTGCAAAAAATTGTGATTTCGGTTTCTCTTTCATCCAAAACACCACAGGAAATGGCTTTATTTTTTTTAGGGATATTTTGAATGCGGTCCCGAATCATCTATATTCTTTGACTGAAACCTTGTTGATTTTTAATTTTTGATCGAAGTTCCTGAAATTAATGTGATAATTATTATATGTAGGTTACTATATTAATTAAAAATTGAAATTTATAGTTGTTTGTATTAATGAGATTTTAAATAAAAAAACCATAATTTTTGGATTAAAATTATTAAAATATAAATTATACTCTCCAATATATTGTGTGTGTGTGTATATATATATGTATGTATATAAACATGGGTACATTTATCAAAATTAACAAAAAAATTATTGTACCAAAATATGGTTACATTCTTCAAAACCACACAAAAATAATAGATATTAGGCTTAATAACATTAGTAAATTTCTTTGATTAAACTTGATATGGATACATTCTCAAATCAAGAAAAAGAATGTACCCATATAAGTTTAAAAATGGATTAGAAAAAATAGAATAGATTTTATATAAAAAAAAGGGTACATTTTACGACAACAAATTGGTATGTTTAAGAACGGGTACATTTTAAGATTAAAAAAATTGAAAAATTAGATGAATGGGTGCATATAAGATTAAAAAATTGGAAACCTTTTTGTAAAAATTAATGGTTACAAACTTATTCTAATTTTTTTTTAGGAAATGTTTTGAATTGAAAATTAGTTAGGAGTTTAATAAAGGTGTGAGTATTAAAATCTTAAATCAATTATAATTTTTACTTTAAAAATTATATAATTGACATGTAAATTTATTATTACATTAATGTAAGGGACCTTGATCAAAATTTGAAAACTAATAAGGTTTTCATCAAAGAACATTAGTTACCAAGGACCGGATACTAATTTTTCCTTTTTATATATTATATTTTTTATGAGTTCTAACATCAAGAAGCTTCCTTTTGCTTGGAGAATCTTCATTTTCAAGGCATATGGTAAATTTCGTTCACCTTTCTTCACACAGTAGCCAATCGTATGAGGTTAATATATTATTCTTTTCAAGCTGCTACTAGTACATATATATAAATGTACGGAAACAGAAGCTCGCTAAAGAAAGGCCTAGGACATCCAACATGTTCCACAATATATATATATATATATATATATATATATATATTGTGGAACATGTTGGATGTCCTAGGCCTTTCTTTAGCGAGCTTCTATTTCCGTACATGTCACATCATTTATAGAACCAACTCCTTCAGTACTTGTTGATGGATCTCCACTAGTACAATTCCTCAACAAAAATGCAGGCTGTTTTGGGGAAGGAACTACATCATTACCTAGCATGAAAACAACTGCCGACATGGTTGGCCGGTCAGCAGCAAACTCTTGCACACACAAGAGGGCAATTTGGATGCATCTCACAACTTCGTTGACATGGTACAATTCACCTATGGATGGATCAACGGTTTCCAAGGCATTGTCTTCTCTCCACAAGTTCCAAACCTAAAACAGTTTGAAAAAAATCAACCAAGCATGAATAAAGTAGGGGACAAACTTGTGGGAAAATCATTGTTTGCAAATAGGCTATAGTTAACTTACATATCCAACCAAATTTGAGTGGGGATATTTTTTGTGGTGGTAACGGAATTCCTTCTGCCAGTTATGATTTCTAGCAGTAAAACACTAAAACTATACACATCAAATTTTACTAAAAAAATTTCTTCCATTGCATACTCTAGCGACATATAACCACTGCAACAGTATAAAGAGATCATGGTGAGACTTGTACTCGGAAGTTGGAACTATTAACCTACTATTTTGGTACGCTCTAGCCAACTTGTATCTTCAATTTTGCTGAAATTTAATTAACTTACTATGTTCCGACCACACGATGTGTATTTGCTTCATATTGGTCCCCCATAAATATTCTTGCCATACCAAAATATGCTACTTTGGCGTTCATAGATGCATCCAATAGAACATTGCTGAACTTTAGATCTCTATGGATAATCCTTAATCTCGAATCTTGATGAAGATATAAAGTCCCTTTAGCAATCCCGCAGATAATCTCAAAGCGTTTTGTCCAATCTAAAATATTTCTTTTTGTTTCATCTGGATACAGTAAGAAGTTGAGACCAAATAAATTCTTGTTAACTTTAGTTCCAAAACGAAATTAAAAGAGAAAAAAGTAAGAAGATGTACCAAAAAAAAAGAGTCCAAACTTTTGTTTGGTACGTATTCATAGATTAGCATCTTCTCTTCATCTTCAACGCAGCAACCTATAATCTTGACAAGGTTCTTGTGTTGGAGTTTTGCAATTATAACAACTTCATTCTTAAACTCTTCAATTCCTTGACCAGAATGCTTCGATAGTCGTTTCACTGCTACGTTCCTTTCCATTATGAAGTACACCCTGAATTACAATCCAAGCACTTATGTAGCAGTTCATTTTAAGGCTTCAAACATGAATTGTCATGTTTGTTGTAAGCTTCTAGGGGTTAACCTAAAGTTGTGCATGATTCGGAAAGGTATAGGAGGCTAAGTACCTTATAGACTGAGCCAAAACCTCCTTTCCCAAGCTTGTTTGCTACAGAGAAATTTCCCGTGCCGCTACAATGGTTGTTCGATCAAAGAATGGTAATTCTGAGTTTATATTACTTTGATCATCAAGATCTATTCTATCTTCCATGAAACACATATTTTTTCTCTGCCTCCCTGCTGTCATGAAATACATAACAAGCAATACAACGTTATAGCCTTTTGGTCATTAACAATCAGTATTGTGTGACACTACAAGAAAACTTACAACAACCGTTGGCGTTAGTTTTACATAATAGAGTGAGTAAAAGGCCTCATAGTATACCCACCCAGTAACCCCTAATAAGTCTTTGACTCATCTCATTTGTTCAACTAACATTAGTGACATAGTAGTTTCTTAATGTAGTGTTGATGTAACAGAAGACCGACACAAGAGGGATACTAATTAAGATAGAGAAAGAAAATTTATTTACCTTTCCTCTTCCTCCTTACCAACCAAAATGAAAGGAATACTAGGACAAGGAACACAAGAGCGGATACTAGTGAAATTGCCAGCCTTGCCTTCTTGCTAATTACAGAACCATTTGCAAATTGAGCTACAAGCATATAAAATAAAAATAAAAATAAAAATACAAAAAATTCAACAGTTGTGAACTGTAAACAGTAGCAAATCACTATAAAAAATAAAGGAAAATTATGTGGTTTCCTCATGTACGAGATAATTGTGGGATGTAAGTAGCTAGGCAGATTAGGGCAAAGTACAGCTGGTCAATTAACATGCAACTACGTACTATCCAATAAGATTTGTCTCATATTAGAAGAATTTCCGGTAGAAGGTGTAGAATACAAAATATTGTGAGTACAAAAGATAAAGTGATTACCTAGAGCAGCTGCATCGACTCGTACATACAAGTCCTGCCCAACATTTGAAAAAGTTCTTGCGTCTATCAAGTCCCCGTACCACGTCACGCAACCCTTCCCTCCATCCCTTCATCTGCACTCGTGTATGCCGTGCAAGAGCAATTCTTTCTGCACTCTTGCTCACACCCTTTCAGACTCAAACTCATATTCACACGTGCCCCAGATGTGTCGGGTACCTTCACGCGTGCCACCTTAACAAACCCTTGCCCTTTTTGGCATGGAGACGCTCCCGATTTTCTCAGGCATCCACCCCATCCAACTCTCAGAGACCAATCCCGGGGGAACTTGGGTTCAAATCCGGGTAGACAAAGGCAAGAGAAGTTATAATTACTGTATGGGTCACAGTTACTATTTGGACCACACTGTCCATGGTAGTCACACCACTCACTTGGGTTAGAGCTTACTTCGATCCATTTGTTTTCTTGATCTCGCCATACGAACCGTTGAAAAGTTCCTGATTCATCTACCACTCCCCTTGTGAAAACTGAGCCATTTGGAACAGTATACATCATATACGTCTCATCTTTATTGTTCACAAAGCTGCGGTAACTATTAGATGCTATCTCAGGGAGCCCGCTTAATCCCTTTCCGGTCCAAGGTCCGGCCCGAAACCATTTGGTTCGACCGTTGTACATAATCACCTGCGGAAACCCGGTTGGGTCAATCTCATGCAAAAAATTCCCCGATCTGGGATCATCGTGGGACTTCCAAGATTTTAGGACCGTGTTCAGCCCTGACCGTCGGTTCAGCCCAATCTTCATCACTGGAAGCACTGTATCTGAGGGGTAATCAAAGCCCTGCCATAGCACCCTTTGGCTACTACCATAATTCTCAAGCAATACAAGATTTCCTGTATCCAAAAGTTTGGCTATTACGTAATTGTTTGGCGAAGAGACTGTGACATTAGCAGACCAAAGAGGGTTATTTTGGTCCTTCCCATAGATGACAAGGCCTCCATGTTCTCCATGAACAGCTAGGAGCCCAGCTCCAGAAATAGGAATTATGGGGTTGTCTCTGTTTGCAGTCCAGACGATGGTTTGGATTCGAATTTTGTTGTACCAAACTCCGACGAAACGATTATGAGAATTGCCTGGGCTAAAAAACCCTAGTGCAAAGATTTTAGTGGTGGAGAGAAGAACGTTGCCATCTCTTAGGGGTTGGTTTGGTGTAATGGCGTCTATGGCAACCGAAAGGGAAGAGGGAAGAATCACAAGGAAGATAAGCAATAGACTTGTGAAAAAAAAGAATTTAGTGGAATTCATGGTTGATGGCTAGCTTTCTCATTGAGGAGTTTAAGTGCTAAAACGGTTGCTTCTTCTAATGGCAAGCAGAAACAAAAAGCCGGAAAGGTTGAATTTTTTATTTCGTTGGAGATTGAGTAACACTAACGGCGCGACTTCCAGTCGCACATGTCAACAAGACACGAATTCCCTCAAACTGATCCTAGCTAGAAAACTCCACTTCAGTAATGCTGACCACACCCCAGTTGTATCCCGTCGATTGATAAAGACAGCTAAATTGGTTCCGAAAAGGGCCAAGTACAAATTTAGAGAACAAAAAAAAAAAAAAAAAAAAATCTGATGTCTAAAAATTGATAAAATAGAATACAATATAAATAAATGGTTTTATTTTTTATTATTGTGATAGAGTCCAACAGATAACATACTCGCAGGTGGTAAGCTATCAGGTCTGATTAGTAGTGGACACTACGAAAAAAGCGAACCATAATAAAATGAAATAGTAAACCAATTTGATAAGTTCTAGGAATTTTTATTTGGCAAGCAAAGAATCACAGGTCAACATCTTTTCTCCTGTATGAATCCCAGAAGCAAAACCTAGATAAAAAGTCTTACCTGCTTCCTGTGCTATGCTGAAGTTTGATTACCACAAACCTCTCATTCTTCAACACTAACTAATGTGAATGTGTCTGTTAGCGATCAAGTTTCCACCATAGTGCATCACACAATCGACAGAATTAGCTAACCAGACTAGTTTCTCGTCAATTACCTAGTAAATTCGCAATCTAAACCAATAATTCTCACGCCCTATACATCAATGCACTAGAAATATCTTACGAAGTTCAACTTTAGCGGGGTTTCATGCTACTACATGTCACATCATTTAAAGAATTTTCATACTAGGTGATGAGATTTTTGCATGTGATCCAATATCCTAATGGTTAGGGTATTCGGTTTTTGTCTATGTGTCCTAGGTTCGAAACTGCCTCCTCTCCTAAATTCTTGTGATATTTTCAAACCCTCCCCTCCCCTTAATAATAATTTAAAAAAACCGGGTGATGGATCTCCACTGTTACAACTCATTTTCGATAAAAATGCTGGTTGTTTTGGTGAAGGAGCTGCTTCTTCATTACCTAGCATGAAAACGACCGCTGACATTGTTGGCCGGTCGTGGCATACTCTTGCACACAGAAGCTGGGCAATTCGGATGCATCTCAGAACTTGGTTGACATGGTCCGATTCAGCCAGAGATGAATCAACGATTTCCAAGGCATTACCTTCTCTCCACAATTTCGAAACCTAAAACAGATTTAATAGGTAGTTAATAGATACGTTTATATTTGTTACTTCAAAGTGCTAAATCCCCTTATTATCTTCATCCCCACCCATCATGCTCATTACTTAGTTGACTATTATCTTAGTACGGTTAATTCCAGTGACTACTCGTGAAGACAATTAGTGAATACTCTGTACCAAGCAAAGAGGAAAACAGGGTAACCGAGGCAGACTTTTTTCGGTTATCAACCAATGTACTGAAGCAGTATTCTACCCAAAATCACAACTTAGGGCTATTTTCGCTGAAGTTTGGTAACACATGACATTACAAAGGACAGTTGTAAGAAATTTTCTTTGAATACGACGTATAAACCCATGTCATTAGCGCGCTTCAGTCATGGTTATTGTTAACTCATTTAGTGAACAAGTTTCTCCCTGCGATACTGCTGAGTTTGGATTTCTGGACTGTTATGTAAATGCAGGTTTCTCGGGAGAGGGAAGAGTTGTTTCCTTACTCAACACGAAAATAACTTCCGACATGGTTGGCCTATCCGATGCACTTTCTTGCACGCAAAGTAGCTGATCTAGATGCATCTTGAAACCTCGTGAGTAGGATGTGACTGATCCGAAGATGAATCAACTATACCTAATTCTTGTTCCTCCACCCACATATCCCAAATCTGATGCAATTAGGATCATTTTAGCGTACACTTTCAGAAATAAAAATTGGTAAATCGTTCCATACATAATTTAGAAGTTTAATGAATTGCCTACTTGTCCAATCAAATTTAGGGACGGACACTCAATATTGCAATTATTGTTCCTTTTGCCGCTAACGATCTCTAGCAGTATGACACCAACGCTAAAAACATCCGATTTTGTTGAATATCGCCCTTCCATTGCATATTCTGGTGACATGTATCCACAGCAGTTACACAACATGATATAAAATATTGAGCATGTTAATTGTTTGCTAATCGTTGTATGTTTCTATCTGTATATACTCAGCGAAAGACTAAAACACTTACTATGTTCCAACCGCTCTGTTTGTGTTTGCTTGGATTTAGTCTTCCCCAAATATTTTCGTCAGTCCAAAATCTGAGATGTTGGGGTTCATAGTTGAATCCAATAGAACATTGCTGGCTTTTCCCAATCTTGATGAAGGTATAAGACCCCTCGAGCGATTCCAACAATAATCTCGCTGCGCTTTTCCTGGTCCAACAATGACCTTCTACTTTCATCTAGTCCAAAAACATAAATTCAAAGTATGAAGAGTAAATAAAGTGAAAGATAGCATTGACAAGCTCTGCTGTAATTAGTTCTTCGTTATAGATTTTAGTTCATTCGAGTTATATAAATCATTTAAATATGAGGTGAATAAATCAAAGGATTAAAAAAGAATCAAGGGACTTCAAACAAAAAGGGATGCGCATGAGGAGAAAAATGGTGATCGGAAACACTTCCCATGAAAAAAATGTTGCTATTTGTAAATTAAAAGGTATATTAATTTTCTTTATTTTAGTTATTAGTCCAACACAACTTCAAATGCTACGCTAAATTAGTCCAGCTTAGTCTATTCTAAGCTAGTCTAAATTAGTCTATGAACCTAGTCTAGTCTAAGATAATCCAATGCAACAAACGCACCCAAAAGGGCCGCCAAATTTGCAAAAAGTCCAAGCTTTTGTGTGAATGCATACATGCAGCAACCAAACACCACAGGAAATGGCGTATTTTTTATTTTTATTATATTTAATTTTTATGAGTTCTAACATCAACAAGCTTCGCTTTACTTGGAGAATCTTCATTTTCAAGGCATAGTAAATTTCGTTCACCCTTTCTTCACACGGTAACAAATTGTATGTGGTTAATACATTATCTTTTGCAAGCTGCTACAAGTACATTTATGTTGTGGAACATGTCGGGTAATCCTAGGCTTTTCTTTAACGAGCTTCTATTTCTGTACATGTCACATCATTTATAGAACTAGCTCCTTCAGTACTTGTTGATGGACCTACTCCAGTACGACTCCTCGTCAACAAAAATGCAGGCTGTGTTGGGGAAGGAACTGCTGCCTCATTACCTAGCATGAAAACAACGGCTGACATGGTTGGCCGGTCAACAGCAAACTCTTGCACACACAAGAGGGCAATTTGGATGCATCTCACAACGTCATTTACATGGTATGATTCGCCCATGGATGGATCAACGATTTCCAAGGCATTGCCTTCTCTCCACAAGTCCCAAACCTAAAAGAGTTTTGAAAAAAATCAACCAAGCATGAATAAAGTAGGGGATAAACTTGTGGGAAAATCATTGTTTACAAATAGGCTATAGTTAGCTTACATATCCAACCAAATTTGAGTGGGGATATTTTTTGTGGTGATAACCGGAATTCCTTTTGCCAGTTATGATTTCTAGTAGTAATACGCCAAAACTGTACACATCAGATTTTACTGAAAAAATTCCTTCCATTGCATACTCTGGTGACATATAACCACTGCAACAATATAAGGAGATCATGGTGAGACTTGTTCTGGGAAGTTGGAACTATTAATTAACCTACTATTTTGGTAAGCTCTAGCCAACGTGTATATTCAATTTTGATGAATTTAATTAACTTACTATGTTCCGACCACACGATGTGTATTTGCTTCACATTGGTCCCCCATAAATATTCTTGCCATACCAAAATCTGCTATTTTGGGACTCATAGATGCATCCAGTAGAATATTACTAGCCTTTAGATCTCTATGGATAATCCTTAATCTCGAATCTTGATGAAGATATAAAATCCCTCTAGCAATCCCACAGATAATATCAAAGCGTTTTGTCCAATCTAAAAGATTTCTTTTTGTTTCATCTGGATACAGTAAGAAGTTAAGACCAAATAAATTATTGTTGACTTTAGTTTCAAAATGAAATTAAAGGAAAAAAAAGGAAGAAGACGTACCAAAAATAAAGGAGTCCAAACTTTTGTTTGGTACGTACTCATAGATTAGCATCTTCTCTTTATCTTCAACGCAGCAACCTATAATCTTGACAAGGTTCCTATGTTGGAGTTTTGCAATTATCACAACTTCGTTCTTAAACTCTTCAATTCCTTGACCAGAATTCTTTGATAGTCGTTTCACCGCTACTTCCTTTCCATTACGAAGTACACCCTGAAATTATAATCCAAACACTTATGTTACAATTCATTTTTAAGGGCGTCAAAAATGAATTGTCATGCTTGTTGTAAGCTTCTAGGTTAACCTAAAGTTATGCATGATTCGGAAAATTATAGGAGGCCAAGTACCTTATAGACTGAGCCAAAACCTCCTGTCCCAAGCTTGTTCGCTACAGAGAAATTGTCCGTGGCAGCTGCAACGGTTGTTCGATCAAAGAATTGTAATTCTGAGTTTATTTTACTTTGATCATCGAGATCTGTTCTATCTTCCATGAAAAACATATATTTTCTCTGCCTTCCTGCTGTCATGAAATACATAATTAACAAGCAATGCAATGTTATAACCTTTTGGTCATAAACAATTCGTATTGCGCGACACTACAAGGAAACTTACAAATAACTGTTGGCATTAGTTGTACAGAATAGAATGAGTAAAAGGCCTCATAGTATACCCGGCATGTAGCCATTAATAAGTCTTTTACCCATCTCAATTCTTACAACTAATATTAGCGACTATAGTCGTTTATTGTAATATTGACGTAATAGAGACCGTCAACCGACACAAGAGGGATAGTAATTAAGATTGAGAAGCAAAATTTATTTACCTTTGCTCTTCCTCCTTACCAACCAACACAAAAGGAAAACTAGGCCAAGGAACACAAGAGCGGATAATAGTGAAATTGCCAGCCTTGCCTTCTTGCTAATTACAGAACCATTTGCAAATTGAGCTACAAGGACATAAAATAAAAATAAAAAAACCAACAAATTCAACAGTTGTGAACTGTAAACAGTAGCAAATCACCATCAATCTCATGTGCGAGATAATTGTGGGATGTAATTAGCCAGCGAACCAGGGCAAAGTACAGCCGGCCAATCAACTCGCAACTACTATCCAACAAGATTTATCTCTTATTAGAGAAATTCCGGTAGAAAGTGCGGAATATATACAAAATATTGTGAGAATGAAAGATAAAGTGATTACCTAGAGTAACTGCATCAACTCGCACATACAAGTCCTGCCCAACACTTGAAAAAGTTCTTGTGTCTATCAAGTCCCCGTACCACGTCACACAACCCTTCCCTCCTCCCCTTTCATCTGCACTCGCGTATGCCATGCAAGAACAATCCTTCATGCACTCTTGCTCACACCCTTTCAGACTAAAATTCATATTCACACGTGCCCCAGATGAGTCGGGTACCTTCACGCGTGCCACCTTAACAAACCCTTCCCCATTTTGGCATGTAGACGCTCCCGATTTTCTTATGCATCCACCCAATCCATCTCTCAGATACCAATCCTGGGGGAATTTGGGTTCAAATCCGGGCAGACAAAGGCAAGAGAAGTTATAATTACTGTATGGGTCACAGTTACCATTTGGACCACACTGTCCATAGTAGTCACACCACTCACTAGGGTTAGAGCTTCCTTCGATCCATTTGCTTTCGTGATCTCGCCATACGAACCGTTTAACAATTCCTGATTCATCTAGCACCCCTCTTGTGAATACTGAGTCATTTGGAACAGTTATCTCCATATATATCTCATCTTTATTGTTCACAAAGTTGCGGACACTATTAGTTGTATATTCGGGTACCCCGCTGAATCTTTGGCCGGTCCAAGTTCCGCCTCGAAACCATTTGGTTCGATCCTTGTAAACCATCAACTGCGGAAACCCGGTTGGGTCAATCTCATACGAAAAATTCCCTGATCCGGGATCATCCTGGGACTTCCGAGATGTTAGGCGCCTATTCAGCCCTGACCGCCGGTTCTGCCCAATCTTCATCCATGGAAGCAGTGTATCTGTGGGGTAATCAAAGCCTTGCCACAGCACCCTTGGGTTACTACCATTGTGCTCAAGCAATACAAGATTTCCTGTATCCCGAAGTTTGGCTATTACGGAATTGTTTGGCGAAGAGACTGTGACATTAGCAGACCAAAGAGGGGTATTTTGGTCCTTCCCATAAATGACAAGGCCTCCATGATCTCCATGAATAGCTAGGAGCCCAGTTCCAGTTCCACCAATAGGAATTATGGGGTTGTCTCTGTTTGCAATCCAGACGATGGTTTTGATTGGAATATTGTTGTACCAGACTCCGATGTAACGGTTATGAGAATTGTCTGGGCTAAAAAAACCCAGTTTAAAGATTTTAGTGGCGGAGAGAAGAAAGTCGCCGTCTCTTAGGGGTTGGTTTGGTGTAATGGCGTCTAGGGCAACAGAAATGGAAGAGGGATGAATCACAAGGAAGATAAGCAATCTAATTATGACAAAAAGGAATATAGTAGAATTCATGGTTAGTTTCTCTTTTAATGGCAGCAGAAACAAAAAGCCGGAAAGTTTAGGTTTTATTTTCTTTGGTGTTGAATTCACCGGCGAATTCTAGTCGACGTAAGAATACTGATCCTAGCTAGAAAGGTGCACTTCATTAATGCTGACCACACCAGTTGTAGTAGATTGATAAAGGCAAATTTTCTCCTATGCTGGAATTTTAAAGAATCACAGGTCAACATCTTTTAAAGAATTTTCTCTTATGCTACGAGAGGATATTTTTCAGTGTAACCGTCACATGAGGTGATACATCACGTATTCCTATATAAATGGTGGGTTATGTGTGTTAAAAGGTTAATAACTTAAAAATTAAAATTTTTCATCACTTTCATAAAAACACGTGGTGTACCATCCGTATTCTCGTCACAACTAAAAATTTCTCTCCACGCGGAAGTTTGATGACCACAAACCTCTCATTCTTAAACACTAATTGATGTGAATGCGTCTGTTAGTTTTCAAGTTTCCGTTCATAGTACGTCTCACAATTGACATAATTAATTAGCTAACTAGACTAGTATAATTTCTCTTCAATTACCTTGCAAGTTCGCAATTGTAACCAGTATTTCTGACGCCCTACAAGTCAATACACTTAAAAATATCTTTAACAGTTTAACTTTAGCGAGATTCTGTGCCACTACATGTCACATAATTTAATGAATTTTCTCCTTCAGTACTGGGTAATGGAGTGTTTGCATGTGGTCCAATATCTTAGTAGATAGGATGTTGGATTTTCACCTATGTGTTCTAGGTTCAAAACTGCACCCTCCCCTAAATTGTTGTAATAGTTTAAAACCCTCGCCTCCCTTTAATAATAATTAAAAACAAAAAAAAAAACAAAAACAAAGATAAACTGGGTGATTGATCTCCACTGTTATAACTCTAATGCTGGTTGTTTTGGTGAAGAAGCTGCTTCTTCAGTACTTAGCATGAAAGCAATCTTGATATTTTTGACCGGTCCGTGGCATACTCCTGTCCACATAATTTGGGATATTTGGACGCATATCAGAACTTGACATGGTCCGATTGACCCAGAGATGAATCAACGATTTCCAATGCATCGACTTCTCTCCACAAGTTAGAAACCTAAAACAAATTTAATAGCTGGTTGATAAAATCATTTATTCATGTTACTGCAAAGCTACGATGCATGGACATCGTGATTTCTTCTTGTATTCCCGTGTTGTGTCGTATCCCTATGTTTGTGTCTGTATCCATGCAATCGTAGCTGCAAACTGTTAAATCCCCTAATTATCTCCATCTCCGTCACCACTCATCACGCTCATTACTTGGTTGACTGTTATTCTTAGTATGGTTAACTTCCAGTGACTATTCCTGAAGTCAATTCGTGAATACTCTGTACCAAGACAGGGGAAAAACAGGGGAACAGGGGTAGACTTTTTTCAGTTATTAACTGATATACATTCTCTGTACTAAACTAGGATAAGCAGAGAGGAATCAACATTCTACCAAAAATTACAAGCAAGAGCTTTTTTTTTCACTAAAGTTTGGTACCACATGACATTATAAAAGGCAATGGCAAGAAATATTTTTTTGTATACGACGTATCAAATCATCCAGGAAAGTTGACTACCAATTCATTCAGGAAAGATACACGCAATGTAAAAGGAAAAAGAGTCTCTATTTGAACAGACAAGAGTCAAACGAATCTTCAGTGCTAGGTGACTGTTGAAATCATTAAAAAATATTAGTAAGTATGAATTAGGATAAAAATACAGAATAGTGTCTGAAGTATATATTAACAAATGAAACCATAAATGTAAGAAGAAAATGAAATGGTATAATCTTGCACACATAAGAGGGCAATTTGGATGCATCTCAGAACTTGGTTGACATGGTACGATTCACCCAGAGACGTACAACCTAGATCATTACCGCGCTTCAACCACGGTTATTGTTAAGTCATTTAGCGAACAAATTTCTCCTCTTGATGCTTCTTTGTTTGGATTTGTGGATTGTAATATAAATGCAGGTTTCTTGGGACAGGGAAGAGTTGTTTCATTACACAACATGAAAACAACTTCCGACATGGTTGGCCTATCCAATGCACTTTCTTGCACACAAAGTAGCCCGATCTGGATGCATCGCGAAACCTCATGTGCAGGATATGACCGATCCAATGATGGATCGACTATACCTAATGCTTGCTCCTCCATCCACATATCCCAAATCTGATGCAATTTCAAACATCATGTTAGCACAAATATTCAGAAGAAAAAATTGGTAGCTCACAGCGTATATACTTTAGAACTTAATGAATTGCCTACTTGTCCAATCAAATTTGGGGAGTGACTTTCATCATCATAACTCGTGTTCCTTTTGCCACTAACGATCTCTAGCAGTATGACACCAAAGCTAAAAATATCCGATTTTGTTGAATATCTCCCTCCCATTGCATATTCCGGTGACATGTAGCCACTACAATCACACAACATGATACAAACTATTGAGTATGCCAATTGTTTCTTCATAATCATCCTATGCTTCTAATTGGATGTACTCCGAAATACTTACTATGTTCCAACCACTCTGTTTGTTTTTGCTATGATTTGGTCTTCCCCAAACATTTTCGCCAGTCCAAAATCTGAGATCTTGGGGTTCATTGTTGAATCCAATAGAACATTGCTAGCTTTCAGATCCCTGTGGATGACTTTCAGTCTTGAGTCATGATGAAGGTATAAGACTCCTCGAGCGATTCCGATGATAATCTCAATACGCTTTTCCCAGTCCAACAATGAGCTTCTACTTTTATCTGGTCAAGAAACATAAACCTTGATTCAATGTATGGAGATTGGAAAGTAAGGAAACCATAGGATAACATTTTCAAGCTCTGCTGCAATTAGTTCTTTGGTATATGCTTTAGTTCATTTGACTTATAATTCAAATATCCGATGAAGTAAGAAAAATGATTTCTACACACCCATTTTCGCTTTCAGCATACCATTTTTTTGACCTTTGGATTGAATAAAACAGAGGCTTAAAGGAGAATCAAGGGAACATAAACAAAGAGAGACGTGTAGGAGAAAAATGCCGTGGCGAAATAACTTCATGCAAAAAAATTGTTGCTATTTATAAATTGAAAGGTATACCAAATATGAAAAGGTCCAGGCTTTTGTTTGGTAAGTATTCATAGATCAACATCTTCTCTTCTGCCTGGACGCAGCAACCTACAAGCCTCACCAGGTTCCTGTGCTGAAGTTTTGCTATCAACATAACCTCATTCTTAAATTGTTCTAAACCTTGTCCTGAATCCTTTGATAATTGTTTCACAGCAACCTCTTGTCCATTAGCTAGTAAACCCTGAAAATTATCATCCCGTCTTTAGTTTAAGATTTGATACAGTAACGAAAATGCTATGTCAATGTGTGCATAATTACATACTTAGGAATGGAGTACTACTTGAGAGATGTGCTTAATTATGTTATCGATGTTTATGTCTTGTACTGAGATACCTTATAGACAGAGCCGAATCCACCTTCGCCGAGCTTGTTAGCAGCAGAGAAATTTTCCGTGGCAGCAACTAAGCTTTTTAGGTCATAAAATGGTAGGTCATGATGAGTTTCACTATCATCTTCCGTTTTTTCCTTTGAAGATCCTACACATAACATAAAGTGCCTATTAGACTCACTAAGAGGCTTGTAATACATTGGGGGAATAAATTTTTGCGTACCTTTTCCCTTTCTCTTTAAACACCAACAACATCCGACGAAAATGAAGGAGGATACCATAGCAATAGATACTACCAAAACCGGCAGCATTCCCTTTTTGGCAAGAAAACTCTTTGACTTCTTTGCGTATTGGGCTACAAAGTTAAAAATACTTAATTGAGAGAAATATGCGAAAGAATATTATTTCAGTACTACTTAGCAAGTTAGCCACATACCATACTCAAGTGCATCCACGCGAATGTAAAGCTCGTCACCACTCCCTTCGGCATTATCTCGAGTATCTATTAAATTCCCATACCATGTCAGGCAGCCAATGCCAACTCGTAATTTTGTGTATGCCAAGCAAGAGCAATTTCTCAAGCACTCATCCTCACATTGTTTCCAACTCGAATTCGTATCCACCAGTGCCCATGATGTGTCAGGAGTTCTCACGTTGGCAACTTTGATGAAACCTTCGCCATTTCTGCATGCCTCATGCTTCCTCACACAGCCACTCGATGCATTTTTCATGTTCCACTCAACTTCCAACAAGGGTTGAAACCCTGGCAGGCATTTGCACTCGAACTCGCTCAAGCCATAAGCTCCAAAGGGATCACATTTGCCGAATGCTCCACACCAGCCATAAGAGTCGCATTTGTTCAAGGGTTCAGACCAGACTAGGTTCCACCCCTGCTTTTGTTGATACCATATAAGTTCTTTGATTGATCCAGAACTGTCCATCACTATTATTCTTGAGATGATCGAAGGGTTGACAACGTCCCACATCAATGTGATCTCATTCTCGTCATTTGTAGTGTAGATTTCAAGGCCACCTTGCACTGTGGTTGTGCCATTCCACCACCCCCTATTCACATTCCAATTTCCAGACCGCCACAATCGGATGTTACCTTTGTTCATCACAATCTGAGGAGCTCCACCTGGGTCAATCCTGTAGGTGTAATTCCCTGTTCCGGGATCATCTTCCGACTTCCAGGAAGTCAGGAACCGGTTCAATCCTGTCCTCTTGTCAATACCAAGTTTCATAAATGGTAGCTGCACATGCGTGGGGTAATCGAAGCTTTGCCATGCTACCTTTTCGCTGTCTTGTTGTTGCTCAACCAAAACAAAGTTTCCAGTGTCTAAGAGCTGAGCTTTGTAAATAGGATCTTGTTCGGATGATAACGATGAAATTGAAACCCCGGATTTGGTAGACCAGAGAGGAATATTGCTTCTGTTTTTCGCATAGACGAAAAGGTTTCCATCTGTACCGATTGAGAGGACTCCTGAAGTGTCATTGACCGGATTGTCTCTGTTTGCGACCCACACAACTCTGTTTTCTACATCTTTCTTGTACCAAATTCCAACGTATCGCTTCGTGGATTTCCCAGGGCTAAAGAACCCAAGCTCAAACACTTCTCCACTCGAGACGAGAACTTCGCCATCCCTGATGGCTTGGTCTGCTGCTATGCTATCCGTTGAAGCGCAGCACCGGATGAGAAGAACGATTTGAACTAGTGTTGTAACAATCACTCCTTCTGTAAAATTCATGAACATGTATCTCTCTTCAACTAGAATACCATCAAAGAAATTTTTTCAATGAGAAGATTATATGTGACTGTTCCAGAGGAAAGTACTATTCATCCCAAACCAACGATTAGAGCATTCATTCAAAGAATTCGTTTCGAAAAAAGAAAAATATGCGACTGCAAGCTCCGGGGAAGAAGTTTTATGCATTAGGAAACCTCAACAACGACCTTGTGGCTAGAACTTGCAAGATTACAAGTGTTGAGAGATCCAGATTGAAAAACGAGAGATCTTATAAATAATTGGGTTATTTTTCATACTGCTTATTACTTTTTCATAGTATCAAAACAAGTTGTCCAACAATTACGTATATGGTTAAATTTTTTTTTTATTACTAATTAATTTTATAATAAAACTTCAACTTCTTTATTAAAATATTTCTAGAAGAACCTTACCAGATCTTTCCTTCATATCTTTTTCAAGATTTGGCTGACAATGCTAAAAAAGTCCACTATGGCAACTTTATAGTCACTGTTTGATGTTTGATGCGTAACAATTTTTAACTCTTATAGAATTGACTGACTGCTAAAATGGTCCACTACGGCATCTTTATAGTCAATGTTTAACTACTCATGCGTGACAATTTTAATTTTTTGTACACCCAAGCGACAATGACAGTATATTCACATATGCAACTCTACCATCTCGGGCATATCTTTACGGTTAATGATTTTGAGGTTGGATTGCGATGTATATTTTGTGACATAGAATTGATGGATACGAAAGGAGAGCAAAAATAAATGAATCCGAAAAATGAAAAATGAAATTGAGTTAGAGTGATTTCAAAATGGCTCGGTTTTAGATTTTTTTTTTTTTTTTTTTAACTGAGAATTAAAATTGGTTAGCAAAAGTTTTCAGTTTTAGTTTTTGAAAAAAGTTAAAATTAAGCTAAAACTTGTTACTAGCTTAGCACGTCTTCATCTTTACAACTAAGAATTTCAATTCTTTCTAATGGAACTTATCAGGTGCCTTAGCATTTATAAGTTGATTGGACAAATTGTTGTACCATCCTCTCTTCCATGCATATTCGGTTTTCTTACATTTATCGCGAAGGAAATAAGGGGGTAGATTGTTTGGCAAACTATGGTGTTGATCATGTTGGAGTTCATTGGTGGGATTCTTGTCCGCCATGTGCAGTTGCGGCTTTTGTTCATAATCCTTCGAAGCTTCCAAATTTTTCGTTTCTATTACAAGTTCTCTTAATTGATTTTTGTTTCTAATAATTTTCTACTTCTTGTTAGGGTTTGGCTTCATGTCCCTCTATATTTTTTTTATCTTTACTTTTTTCTTCAATATATATTCACAATAATGTCTCTTTCCATGCAATGGTGGAGGATATGACATTATTGTTTTAATTAAAAAAAAAAAACTGAGAATTTCAATTTGTTACTCTGCTTACCACTTCTTCATGGTTGATCTAAAATTTAAACATTTAGGCCCGTTTGGATTCTAGGATTTGAATTTGAATCTTCATGTACAAAGAAATCTTGAATTGAGTATAAAGACTTAAGAAGTAATGCAAAATCTCTACAGGGATCTGAAAAATGCAAAATCTCTACAGGGATCTGAAAAATGCAAACTCAACGAGCTTCAATAACTGTGACTGTTACATCATTTACAGAAGAAGCTCCCCTAGAAGTTGAAGAATCCGGACCGCTATTTTTGAAGCTAAACACTGCCTTTTTCGGATGTGGAAGAGTCATTTCGTTCCCCAGCATGAACACAACATCTAACATGGTCGGTCGGTCTGTTGTGTATTCTTGCACACACAAGAGCCCAATCTGAATGCATCTCATAACTTCATGAGTCAAATATGACTCATTTAGTGATAAATCAACTATGTCCAAGACTTTTCCTTCTGTCCACAAGTCCCATATCTGAAACCATTTCGGCATAAGTGTTTAGATGGATGGACTATTGAAAAGTTAAATTCATCATCTAAAATATTATCTGTTTACTTACTAGTCCAACCAAATTCAGAGAGGGGTTTTCGAATTGGAAATTGTTCTTCCTGCCACTAATGATCTCTAGTGCCAAGACTCCAAAGCTAAACACATCAGATTTTGTGGAATATAGCCCATCCATAGCATACTCCGGTGACATGTAACCGCTGCAATGACACAATATTAGTACTAAAAAAATATCGGCTCTACTTGAGTTTTATTTCAAGGGAGAGAAGAGAATTACTAGGTGCCAACAACTCTATTCGTGTTGGCTTCAATCTGGTCATCCCCAAACATTCTTGCCATGCCAAAATCTGATATTTTTGGGTTCATTGAACCATCCAGTAAAACATTGCTTTCTTTCAAATCCCTGTGAATTATTTTTAGTCTCGAATCTTGATGAAGATATAGGACTCCTCGAGCAATCCCAATGATAATTTGAAATCGCTTTCTCCAGTCTAACGACGACTTTCTGTTTTTATCTGAACACAACACATAAAAGCGCCTATTAGCTAGATACTAGTTAAGTGACGAAAGTATTTATTAGCGTATGTAGAGATCGCATACCAAAAATGAATAAGTCCAAGCTGCGATTCGGCATGTATTCATAGATTAACATCCTCTCTTCTTTATCTATGCAGCAACCCAAAAGCCTCACAAGGTTTCTATGCTGGAGTTTTGCTATAAGCATGACTTCATTCTTGAATTCGTCTACTCCTTGTCCTGAATTTCTCGATAATCTTTTGACAGCTATTTCCTGTCCGTCAGCTAGATTTCCCTGAAATGGTGATGCAGACTCGAAAATCTTAACGACAAACTTCAGATCAATATAAAGTTTACATACAATTCTATCTTATCCTCCTCAACGTCACAGAGCTTATGTATTGGTATGTTCGTAAACAAAGTACAAGATGTGTACTTCACATTTTATTTTAAAGTCACACAATGCTGAGTTACACAGAACGGTTCTAGGAAAGTACCTTATATACCATGCCGAAGCCACCATGTCCAAGCATATTAGCAAAAGAGAAATTTTCTGTGGCTGCAACCACGGTGGTTAAATCGAAAAAAGGTAAATCTGTTTTTCCTCTGTGTTCATCAACCTCTTTTCTTATTGGCAAATCTTCACAGCTTCGTGAACCAAAAGCAGCGGGATCATTCAGCAGTTCAGGTTGTCCTCCTCTCTCTGTTTCCATTCCATTGAAATTTCAGGTTATAAATTTCAAGACGAACAAAATGAACTTGAGCTAAAATAAAGCCGTAAAACAAAATTGCGAAACGAAAGAAGGGGAAATTTTTCGCATACCCTTCCTGCTTATTTTCCTGAACCAACATAAAACTGCGAGTATGAGCAATGAGGCGACAGAAATTGACGCTCCCAATATAATAGCCAGTCGCCTTTTTCCGGAAGAAAACCCTGCTTCTGACTTCTTTTTATACTGAGCTGGAAAAAAGAAGAAAAAATATATTACTAGTGCCATCAATGGTATGAAGTTGGAACATGTAGCTGACGCAATTTCTTGGAAGATAAGGTACCTAAAACTACTGCGTCTGCGCGAATGTACAAATCTTGCCCGCCTTCTGTGAACTGCTTAGTATCCATCAAATCTTTATACCATGTCATGCATCCAGTACCTCCATTCCTCACATCTGCACTCGCATACGCTAAGCACGAGCAGTTCCTCAAGCACTCCTCCTCGCACGCTTCCAAGCTCAAATTCATCTCCAATTTTATGGAGGACGTGTCTGGAACCTTTACATTTTTCATCTTCACAAATCCCTCGCCATTCCTGCACATGGACCGCGACCCCTGCTGCCTCTTGCATCCACCTGTTCCGTCTCTCAAATCCCAATCCTGCAGTGAGGTTGGTTCGTACCCGGGGTAGCATGTGCAGTTGAACCCACTGTTAGTGTAGGGATTGCAATTGCCAAACTGACCACACTTGCCATAGCTGTCACAGGCATCCAATGGCGCTGACCAAAGCGAAACCCACTGGTGCTGTTGCCCCTGCCATGCTAGCTGGTTGAGTGTTCCCATCCCATCTATTGTGATCACCGAGTAAATTGAAGGGTCGAGAACAGTCCACTGCACAGCAATTTCATCTTTGTTGTTCACAAAATTGATCTTAAACACAACGTTCCGCTGCACGGCAGGTATGCCGCCCCATTGAATCCCGTTCCAATGTCCTGACCTCCACCACTTAGCCTCATTCTTGTACAAGATCAACTGAGGCGATCCATTCAGGTCCATTCTCAACGAAACATTACCCGTCCCTGGATCATTGTCCGATTTCCAACACATGAGGAACCGGTTGATGCCACTTCTCCTGTCCAACCCGATTTTCATACTCGAAAGAAGAATATGTGTAGGGTGATCAGTGCTCTGCCAAAAAACATCCTGGCTGCCTTGTTGAGCCAAAACAAGGCTTCCCGAATCAAGGATTTGGGCGAAAATATTGCTCGCTGATGATATCGAAACATTCGTTGACCACAGACGAACAAGGCCTTGGCTAGTATTGGCTTGCAGCCCTAGGTTTCCATCAGAACCTATTGAGAGAACTCCTGAGCTGCCATTGATGGGATTATCTCTGTTGGCCACCCACACAACCCTGTCTTCTGAAAACTTGTACCAAATTCCAACATAGCGGTCGGTAGATGTCCCGGGACTAAAGAACCCCAAGACAAAGGTCTCATTCTTGGACACCAAGAAATCACCGTCTCCGACGGGTTGATCAAATTTTCTGGTGTCCAAGGAAGAGCAGAGCCGGACAAGGAGGAGATGAAGAACTAAAACATTTAGCAGACGTTTCACCAACTGCATTTTGCAGAACAATGGTTTGCCAAAGCACGATTGATTGCTTGCTCAAGTAATCTTTGAATTATTATTAATATTTTGTTTTATCCATAAATTTATGTAAAATATATGTAAATAATAATTTTTTGCCCCACCACGGAACGTACTCATGGAAGAAATTTTTGATACAGACAGACTCTACATAGATTGCAACACCCTTTGGACTTTGAACAACTTGGTGGGATTTAAAGGGTGAAAGGAGGATGGTGAAAAAAAAGTTTGTTTAAGTCTTATCATTCACCATCTTCCCTTCACCTTTCGTTTATAAGTCTTAACTTTTTTCATATTTATTATAAATAAAAAAGAAAATGTATGTGAAAGAAATGAGAAATGAAAAGTGAAGTGGATGATAGCGAATGATTAACAAAATAAAATTAAAACAAAAAATGAAAAACAATTTTTTTTCACATTCAAGTTTTTATTTTCATGTGCTCTCTTTTATTCATTCCTCTTCCTTCCTACCACCTCTCTTTCTCTTAAATATATATATATATATATATTTATTTTTTTTCTATATATATTTTTTCTATCTCACACGAAAAATAAAAAAGAAATGAAATAGTTATCAGATAAATTTTAATTAGATTATTTTCTAAATGTCATAAAATTTTCAATCTCACATACAAAAAAACAAAATAATTATCAGACGAATTTGAAATAGATTCTTTTCTAGAAGCCATAAAATTTTGTGCTGGATAAAATTTCGGTTTTAATTACTACCATTTGGTACGAATTTTCTATTGAAGAGACAAAATGTCACTTTGAGGAAAGAAAAATGACTGCGTTTCTAGAAATGTTGGACAATGAGAAGGGCATGAGTATTGACCATTTCATAAAGTTCAAGACCAAATTTTTGAAGAAATTGATACCATGGCCCCATCACTCACTAGGTCACAGCCACAAAAATCCACTTTGGAACTTTCCCATAAGAAATTTAAAATGTTCCAACCACTCTAGCACTAATTACTAAACAGACAATTGCTAAATGCATGTTGTCACTCAATAAGCTAAAATACTTAATTAAAAAAAATATACATTTTATTGCTAGTGGCTGGTGGTCGGCGTGGATCTTATAAAATATTTCATGTAGGACAATTACTGTATTCTAATCTCGGGAAGAGGTGGTGCTGTAGCTTGGTTATAGTGCAATTGAGGGGGAATTTAGTTTTAATTACGAAATAGCCATTTTTTTTAATTTTGTTTTTTACTTTTTTTTATGTAAATATGGGCTATTGTGTGGGTTTGTGGATTTGGGCCTTACATGAGTTGTGGTGGGAATTTGTGAGTTTGACCTTGTACTGTTATTTGGCTAGATTGATGTCTTTGCTCATTTATGCTCGTATTAGGCCTGACATAATTAGTTGTGGATCATTTAAACGTATCTGGTTTTGCTTTAGAATTAGCGGTTTCAATGGTGATGCAGGTTCATTTTCATCAATAGATAGTGGGTTGAATGCCATAATATGCACACTTAGTTGTATTGTCGCCGTTGTTGGGTCTTCCCACCATCGTCTTTTGGTCTTGGTTGGCTACGTTGGTTGGCTCCAGTTTGCGACTTGTGATGGCTCGCGATTTTGGAATTTTAGTGCAATAGGTCTGCAGCAATTTTTGGTTGCTCGGTTGCAACAGGGCAACTTGGAACGGTGCTTTTTAGGTTCTACAACCAAGGTTTTAAAAGATACTAGACGTTAGTCGGGCAATGGGATAAGGCCTAATGGCTAGACGGGGCCTAGGCGTATCTAAATAAATTTGTTATATTTCGTGTAAATAAGTGTTTGTTTATACTTAAAATATCATAAATTATGATGAGTCAATATTATATTATAAATTTTACCCTATTCTTAGTATTAGTTTATTGATTATTTTGGTAGAATTTTGATACTTTGCTTTATATTTTCAACATAGGACATTCAACTTCCTCTGGAGCAAAACATAATCAAATGGATGAATTTTGGAGTGATTCAAATTGGAAGACGTTCGTGTGTCTCTTGCCGTGTTTGTATCAAAATTTGGGATTTTTCTACCAAGCGGTTATTTTCTGGCGACCAACTAAAGAAGCAATGCGCGTTGCTGAAAAGTGACGTGGGCTTAAATTGAGTTTTTGGAGCCCAAGATGACCTCAAATGGGCTTGTGGCCTTCTGGAGAAGTGTTCATAATAGTCCAAGCTTTAAATCCAGCTATTTTGGGGCAGTTTTGGAGCTGACTTAGGTCCAAAACGTGGCTGTGCAGATTTTTGGGCGAATTTACCAAGTTAATTTATGATTATGTTTCCTATTTTGTTTCAATTTATTAGGTTTCCTAGTTTTATTCTAAGACCTTTTCAAGGTAGGGTTTTATTTTCTAGTCGTATAAATAAGGCTTGTTAGCCATTAGGGTTCGCTACGCAACATTGGAGGGGAACGTACGTGGAGAATTTAGCTAGCCTTTGATGCTTTGTATTTTCAAGGTGTTTTCTATCCTTTTTCTATTTCAATAAAATTTATTTTGTTTTATGGTTGTTCGTAGCTAATTTTCGTTTGCTAGGGTGATGTCTTGAGCCTTAGCATAAATATGTAGTTTTTATTTAATTGCTTATGATATTATTCATGCATACTTTGAATTATTAATCATTGTGCTTTAAACTGTCTCTATATCTTAATGCTTAGCTACCATTAGGATGTTCAGATAAGTAATTGGATGCAATTCGATCGGAATGCCACCGGGGAATTGAGTATCGCTTCTTGTGATTGATAGTTGTAAGTTCACCTAGGGCGAATGCCACGTCTTAGGGGTTGCATGGTTTTTCAAAGGGTTTTCACAAAGCCTAATGAGTCATGTATGTGTATATTTGATCTAAATGTCACATACGGATTGCATGTTGCCACAAGTAGAATATGCATAAGGAAAACCTAACCTTCAAAGTTGCATGTGTAATTCATAAGTAATTGGTAAAACTACATAGGATTGTTAATGGGACAGCATGTAATACCCTGAAAATTTAAATATATGAATTTTATATTCATAATTGTGAATCATGGTTGTAAACAAGACAGATAATTAAAGAATTACGATAGGTGGTAGTTAAATCATTGAGATAAATCCTTTGTTGAGAATTGGTACTAAGAAAAGGAATTTGGTAAATAATTTGAATATTAACCTTATGGCTTGAAAATTTAAAAGTTGGTCATGAATTTAATGTGAGGGATAGGAAATTGAAGTACAGAATCGGGTTTAATGGTGATTAACTAACCAAGAGTTTAGTTTGGGCCCATCACCAATAATATTCCCCGAAAATAAATATTTTGGGCAGGGGTGTGACAAAATGGTATCAGAGCAAATGATCCTACTCTACGAGATGCACTATTTGTGTGTCTTGTTGGTGTGCATTATGACATGCATTGTGGTTGCATTAATTCATATTTTTAGGAATAAAGTGGCATTCATGTTTTATATGTGAAGTACATATATAAATTGTATTACGATTGTGGTGCAATTTCCTTGGTAAATATGAAAGTTTCGTTAATGGGAATTGTGATTTGCGTTTATATTGCATTATTTCATAAGTTCTATAAGAATGACGGAAATTATGTGGAATGCATATATTGTGAATTATGATGCTTTGAATTAAATTGAATGGGAGTAGGAAAATTTTAAAATATCGTATTCATGTTATAGCTTCGAAGATGAGCATTTGATTAAAGTTTTGGATTAATCTTGAGTTGAATCAATATTAGGCTATGCATTATGAAAATGTTGAATGTTAAGGTGATTGGGAGGTGGTGATAAGCAGATGGAGAATTTGTATTATACCTGGCACTTGAGAACTTGAAATTGGGCGAAAAGGGCCCATGGATATAAGGGTGGATATGTGAGATTGGGCGAGAAGGGCCCGTGGATATAAGGGTGGATATGTTTGATTGGGTGAGAAGGGCCCGTGAATGTGAAATTGGACGAAAAAGGACCCGTGGATATAAGGGTGGATATGTGAGATTGGGCGAGAAAGGCCCGTGAATGTGAAATTGGGCGGAAAAGACCCGTAGAGATGAAAAAAAAAAAAAAAAAAGAAGAAGAAGAAGAAGAAGAAAAGAAAATTAAAGTGTAATGTGTATTGGCCAGGTATATTACAATATTTTCCAGTTTCCTAATCACTGATTGAGATAAAAAGCAAATGGTGGTGGAATCATTGTTTTGACAATGATAAGTGTGGCTAGAAATTTTAAAAATCTTTTGGCCAATGATAATTGTGGTTGGAAATTTTAGCATTTATCAAGGTTGTGATGATGTATCTAATGGGAATAAAAATAATAAAAAAAAATGTATAAACTGTGGTTATTGTTGACCATTATGATTTGAAAGGGTGGAAAACCTATGTGGCGTTCTTCATTTATTATTGGTGGACGTGAATAAAATTATGGGAAGTGTGAGTCCTTAATTTAGGCGATATGTGGCTACCTTTAGAAACAGTTTGAAAGAGAATCAATTAAAATGAAAGATTTAAAAAGGTTTTAAAGATGACTAAGGGTAATTTAGTTTAATTGTGGATATTAATGAAATCATAGAACAGGATTTGATTTCGTTCAGTGTGAACGGTATTGTGGATTTGGTTTTAAATTTCTTTCCATCACATAGTAAAGAGATTGGAAATTCCAATAATTTTGGTTGGAATTTTGGTATTTGATTTGCCAATTCTAATGGTTTGGCTTGAAAATTTTAATATTTACCTAGCTATTAATGATCATGGCTTGAATTCTGATATTGATTTGGCCAAAAGAAAAATTATGGCGGGAATTTATGATATTAGTTTTGCCAATATTGAGTATGACAAAAATTTTCTGATGTTGGCATCATCAATGGTTGTGGTTAGAAATTTAGGGAAAGAATTGTGGTAACGGTTGTGTGTAGCCAATTAGAATTATGACTAAATGGTTGATATTATTTTTGCCAAAAGTAATGGTAAGTGGTAATACCCATAATTATGATTTAAAATTTAAATTAGTGTGATTGGGATTTCGGATATCTATCTTGCAAATATGTGTGGCTAGAAGTTCTGATATTTTCCCTTACCAATGAATGTGGTTGTGAGAATCACGATCAATTATTCGTTGATTTATTTATTCTCAACTTGAATAAAATTGTAGACGGAGATTTTAATTGTATT